AAAAATTACAATTACAACATGAAGAAAAGTGGTTCGGGAACGACGTGTGCGGTAGTTGGTTGCAAAAACTCGAGAAAGCACCTGAACGAGTGGTTAGATAGAGAGTGCTACGACCACAAACCAGCTACAAAGAGGCAATGACCATACGCTCCATTGTTAACATTTTTTCGCAAGCCTGATACCGACTCGGAATCAAGGACCTGGCTGAAGGCATTGAATCTAAAGAAACCACCCCTCAACGTTTTTGTTTGTTCCTATCACTTTGTTGACCAAAAACCTACCAAGGATAATCCTTTCCCAGAGTTGTGGTTGGGATACAATCGCCCTCCCCAGCCAAATAGGCGTCAACTCACCCAGCGGACCACTGCCTCCTCCCAGATAAAGAAACGCAGACTTGAATCTGAGGGTAAGTTCAGCAACTTTAGCTATGAAGCTGACAATACTGTTAATTATGAAGAAGTTGTCATACATTAACATTGCTACCGATATTTTGCTAAGGCAGTTGATTGTTTTGGAGATGGGACAAACAATGCCCACGATAGCTACATCATTAATTGTGTGTGTGTGTGTGCCTGCCTGCGTGTGCCTTAGTCTACATCATAAATACAATGCAAGGTGGCAGGCTGTTGTGATGATGATTGTGTGTGTGCGTGTGAGTGCAATGTTGTAGTACACATTTTTCCATTGTGATGTTTGTAGTGAGAGGACTCTATGCCTGCATTAATTTTGCTCCATCCATGTTTTCTCTTCCCCTTTTTAGATGCTCCAGAAACCTGTCAGCCTGTCTGTGAGGCCGAGCCTGCTACACCAAAATTTCGAGATGCCCAGACCCAATGGGTAGCCAATGTCCGCATACATGTGGAAAGAGCAATCCAGAGACTGAAGGTGTTTAAGATTTTATCCCAGAATGTTCCCATCAGCATGGCACCGAAACTGGACAACATCTTAACCATCTGTGCTGGCCTAGTTAACCTGAAGAGTCCACTGATCAGTGAGGTTTAGAATCTTGCCCTATGTCCCTGTCTACAAACACCCAGCCATGTTGTTCATTAAATACAGATAAACACAACAAATACTGCGTGCATTGTATTTTTAAATATTATATATGAATATTTTCATAGTGATGTAATTGTGTGGGCTGCTTTTGTATTTTACTTTTTAATACCTGTTGAGATTAAACACACAATCTTTCTTGTTGAAGCCATTTGTTTAGTTTCCTCAAAACAATTCATTAATCGAGTGTTATTTATGTACAGTATGAGCTTACTATGAATTATGAACTGTGTTAAAATAAATTGTAGCACTCTAAGGATTGAAATTACATCAAACTTTATTTTCACTCAAACAGTAGGCACACTGATATATTGCACAGCATAAAGAGATCATGTAAACAATGGACATCTGTTGGCTCCTGTGGGCATGACCTAAATAAGGCAGTTTATTTTGGTTTTAAAATGCTGAGATATTTACTGCAGAACTGTAACCTTCCCTCAACAAAATCATCAACAATTTTCGGGAGCATGTGGGCAAAGTAGAATGTGCGCAGCCTTATGATATGCCCCTGGACAAAGCCTTGGTCGTAGGGTACTTCGATTTCTAGGTGCTCAGTTTTGTTCCAGATCACCAACCTGGAGTGCTGAAGCCCTGTGCAGTGCATCCCAATTTGTACCTGCTTGTAGTAGCCTTTTGGACCATTGCAGGCAATATGGTAATCTACCCTATCTCCGTTTGCCACAGTTGTGATTTCGCAGTTCTTTGTTGCCAAAAATTCTGCAAGTGACTTGTTTCCCATCACAGGTGATTTGATCTCCAACAGAATGTCGTTGTTTATCACTCCATCGGGAGATGCTGCAAGCCACGGTTCCTTTTCGCACACCACTAAGCCTTTGGTTTCAATGCTGTTGCCCAGAGTTTCCAAATAGTCCCTTGCAAGTTCCTCCCCCTCCGCTCCTTGACGGGTTGCGGCATTGCCACGGAAGGATGGGTGTAAGTGTTCTGACAAAAACTTGTCAGGCGCCGTGGTTGAGCGAATGGGCACCTTTCTAGCTGTGCTCGCTGTGATGCGCACTCTCCGAGCATTGTCCGTCTGTGCAGGCACGCCCGGTTTTCCCCTGTCTCACAGCATTTTCTACCTAGAGAGATATAGTAAAAACAGTGCATAGATATTATAATGGGTTCACTGCACACATGTCATATGATGTAACACGAATATGAAGAAAATGCGTTATTATCATAATTCAATTCAATTATGAGCGCGCTTATCTAAACGGCACCTAAAAGCTGTCTCAAAGAACCAGCAAAAGTAATGATTATGAATATGTAAAATATTGCAATGAGACATTTTAATTGTTTATTCATAAACAAGTGTTCGGTTCATGCATAAGCTCCAGTTCAGGCCGGAGCCTTATGTTGTCATTATCTATTGTCTGTCTGCTATATTAAAATTAAGATACAATTAATACAAAACAAAATTCGCTTTAAAGGCTTTGTTCTTTCTGTTTTGAGGTGTCTGTGAAAGTTTGAAAGTCTTTAGTGCCGCTTTCAGAGCGCTCACGTCCGTAATGGAGAACTGTCGTAGGCCTAACATTGTTTTTTTCCTCATAAATGCAAACACGAAAATTAAAACACAAAATAGTGTTTTTTTTTTAATAACAAATTTATGGATTTATAGCGTTTTGAAAAAAAGACATAGGCCTAGGCTACAATGGTCAAATAATTACCTTCCACAGGATCGCAGCTGAGTGGGAACAAGATCTCCCTGGTCCAGCAACACACGTACATCCCGCAGTTTTGACTTCTCCAGCTTCAGTTACCAGCACCCAAGCATTATGCCATGCATTGTTCAAACACTGGCTAGGCTCTACATTTGCTTTCAGATAAACAAAACGATCATGTTTGTATGACATGACACAACCGACTTTGTTGCTGTGCAGATATTGATATGCCTCGGAGGCTTTCAGATTGTCCATTGCATTTCACATTGATGGCAAGTAGGAGCAACTTGCGTGTGTTTTACGTCGTAGTATCTCCACTGATGAATTGGGTGAGGAGGTGTTCTCAAGTAGAGAACCGTAGCTAGCGTACATGTGTGTTAGCACTTGTTAACAATTCCGCGGAATGAATGATTTGTGAGAGTATGCGCCACCCGTAACAGGCGAAGATAGAGCCTTGAGGGACACCACATGAGTTCCCACAGTTAGGCATCCCCAATGGCAACATTGTGTATTTTACTCTGATCACACACTTTGGTTGTTTCTCCTATCTTAGTTGAATGCACTTCGGTGAGTCAATAAAAAAGGGTTACAGACTAGGTCATACATATAACATAAACAGTTGTAGGGAAGTTCCTGAGCTCCAGACAGAGAATCAAGGCACATTACCTGGGCCCATATTCATAAAGCCTCTCAGAGTAGGAGTGTTGATCTAGGATCAGTTTTGCCTTGTATATTATGATGAATGGACAGGGGGGACCTGATCCTATATCAGCACTCCTACTCTGAGAGGCTTTATGAATACTGGCCTCCATTTCATGAATATGTTTTATTATAGAAACTTATTTTTAAAAAAAGAGTCCTCTTTTGAGAATGCCAAAGCCATAAAGTAGCAGCCCTATTTACTTGACTTGCCTCAGTAAACATGTTGTGTACTGGGACTGGCTTGATGTATTGAATGTGAGTTCACCACTTAAAGATCGTAGCTCAGGACCTGAAGCAAGGATATGCATATTCTTGATACCATTTGAAAGGAAACACTGAAGTTTGTGGAAATGTGAAATTAATGTAGGAGAATATAACATTAGATCTGGTAAAAGATAATACAAACAAAAAAACATGCGCTTTCTATTTATTTTTGTTCCATCACCTTTGAAATGCAAGAGAAAGGCCACAATATAATATTGCAGTTTAGGCGCAATTTAGATTTTGGCCACTAGATGACAGTGTGCGCGCAAAGTTTCAGATTGATCCAGTGAAGCATTGCAATACTGGACTATTTTGTATCAAGTCAGCCCAAATCTGCCGAATTGGTCAATTGATACATTTTCAAGTACATTACTATAGAGAACATACAAAAATGATATAGTAATACAAAATGTAAGTTTACACACTCCCAGGAATGTCATACATGATGGATCATTAGCTTATACACTAACTTTCACACATCTAGATGGCCGGGCGGGGTGGGTGTGGAGCCAGAGACAGCAGGGGTTCAAACTGTAGAACCCAGTTCCTACATTTGAATATAACAAAACGATGCTACATTTTATCTCTGGGACCCTTAGGATGACAAATCAGAGCAAAATTACTGAATGTAAGTACATTATTTACCTTCGGAGGTGAACGTATCAAACCAGTTGCCGTGGTAAGTTTTTTGTTGTTGTGCACTCTCCTCAAACAATAGCATGGTATTTTTTCACTGTAAATTGGACAGTGCAGTTAGATTAACATGAATTTAAGCTTTCTGCCCATATAAGACATGTATATGTCCTGGAAAGTTTGCTGTTACTTACAAACAGTCATGCTAATCACATTAGCGCACGTTTGCTCAACCGACCCGTATACGGGACACTGATCCCGTAGAGGGTAAGAGTTGTTGTGGCTGGAATAATCAATAACGCAAGGCCAAGAGAGACATTTCAAAAGCAACCACCTCCTCATTATGTTCAATAACCGCTTGGAAGAGAAGACATCCTCGTAAACCCGGCAGCTGAGTCAACTATATACACCACACTACTTTTCAGAACATCCACTGAAGCACCGCCGCCCCCTCCCCCCGGTCAGGAATCAACAGGGGGAAAGAAGTGTGGAGAAAATGTTTGTGTTTGTACACTACTGTACTGTATGTATTTTAAGACGTTTTTGCATGACAACATGCATTGAATTTGTGTTTTTTTCTGTACAAGTACACATGTGAGTCTGTTTGTATTATACACCCGAGTGAGTTTACAGTCATTACTGTAAGCTTGTGTGTGTACGCTTGTGTGTGTGTCCACTCTCCCTTCAGCTCCTGGTCTGTGGGTCTGGTGCCAGCTCCCCAGGCGAGTGACCCAGTTCTGGGCATCCAGGCAGGCGGGAGGAGAGCAGGACGCTAGAAGCCGGACAGGAGGGGGAGAGGGAGGACGGCGCAGCCTAGACCCAGTTTACCAGCTGCACCTGGCACTCCTGCTCCTCGCCCCATAGAGTTGAACCTTCATCGTGCTCCATTGCAGTAGGAGTCCTGCTTGGTCTTGCTTGCTATAGGCCAACTCCTGGCATTCAGGCCCTAATCTCTCATGTACAGACCAACTAAACATGGTAGTAGCGTCTGTCAACAGACTGTGGGATGCGACGACTAACGAAGAACTTTGGTCTAGTATGCAGATTTTGTTGTTGTTGTGAATCATTTGGACAAATCACGATTTTCGCAGGTGCTCTCATCTTTCGAATTTCGTAAAAGGGGAGGGGACATTGGGTCCATAGACTTGCCTGAAATTTGCAGTTTCCGTTTAAGGAGGTGGTTAGTGTATTTATTAACACTCCTAAATTAAATAGAGCATCTGACCAAGTTACGCAAGATTTTAGTTCTGGGTTACCAAGATTATTATAAATCAAGAATGAACAACCCTGCTCCTAGGAGACCTAATGTTGTTTGTACAGGCATTTCTCTGCATTTCTCCTTTGCCAAGATAATCCATCCACCTGACAAGTGTGGCATATCAAGTAGCTGATTAAACAGCATTATCATTACACAGGTGCACCTTGTGCTGTGGACAATAAAAGGTCACTCTAAAATGTGCAGTTTTGCCACACAACACAATGCCACAGATGTCTCAAGTTGAGGGAGCGTGCAATTGGCATGCTGACTGTAGGAATGTCCACCAGAGCTGTTGCCAGATAATTTTAATGTTCATTCCGCTACCATAAGCTGCCTCCAACGTCGTTTTAGAGAATTTGTCAGTACGTCCAACCAGCCTCATTACCGCAGACCACGTGTAACCATGCCAGCCCCTGGGATCATGCCAGCCCAGGACATCCACATCCAGCTTCTTTACCTGCGGTATCGTCTTAGACCACCACCCGGACAGCTGATGAAACTGTGGGTTTGCACAACCGAAGAATTTCTGCACCAACTGTCATAACAGTCTCAGGGAAACTCAGCTGCGTGCTCGTCGTCCTCACCAGAGTCTTGACCTGACTGCAGTTCGGCGTCGTCACCGACTTCAGTGGGAAAATGCTCACCTTTGATGGCAACTGGCATGCTGGAGAAGTGTGCTATTCATGGATGAATCCCGGTTTCAACTGTACCGGGCAGATGGCAGACAGCGTGTGTGGCGTTGTGTGGGTGAGCGGTTTGCTGATGTCAACGTTGCGAACGGAGTGCCCCATGGTGGCGGTGGGGTTACGGTATGGGCAGGCATAAGCTATGGACAACGAACACAATTGCATTTCATTAATGGAAATTTGAATGCACAGAGATACCGTGACGAGATCCTGAGGCCCATTGTCGTGCCATTCATCCGCCACCATCACCTCATGTTTCAGCATGATAATGCACGGCACCATGTCGTAAGGATCTGTACACAATTCCTGGAAGCTGAAAATGTCCCAGTTGCATACTCACCAGTCATGTCAACACCCATTGAGCATGTTTGGGATGCTCTGGATCGACAGCGTGTTCCAGTTCCCGCCAATATCCAGCAACTTCGCACAGCCATTGAAGAGGAGTGGGACAACATTCCACAAGCCACTATAAACAGCCTGATCAACTCTACGCGAAGGAAATGTGTCACGCAGCATGAGGCAAATGGTGGTCACACCAGATACTGACTGTTTTTTTTATCCTTGCCCCTACTTTTTTAATTTAAGGTATCTGTGACCAACAGACGCATATCTGTATTGCAAGTGAAATCCATAGATTAGGGCCTAATTTATTTATTTCAATTGACTGATTTCCTTATATGAACTGTAACTCAGTAAAACCATTGAAATTGCTGCATGTTGCGTTTATTTTATTTCAGTGTATATAATTAATAAACACAGTTGGTTCTGGGAAGTTTTTCCAAAATCCTATTTGGCCCCTTTGGGTGAGATACAACAGTCTACACAGAGTGAGGTAGAGAGAGAACAGGGAACAAGGACACATGGTGCCACCAGCTATACTTGGGAAATAAAGAACCAAAAAAAAAAGAGAATAAGGTTGAAGAGCCTGGAGAGAGGTGGAAGGAGAGAAGAGGACGAGTGCGGCATTGTGACCTGGATGGAGGGATGAGAGCTGGAGGGGAGGAAGGAGAGAAGAGGACGAGTGCGGCATTGTGACCTGGATGGAGGGATGAGAGAGTTGGAGGGGAGGAAGGAGAGAAGAGGACGAGTGCGGCATTGTGACCTGGATGGAGGGATGAGAGAGTTGGAGGGGAGGAAGGAGAGAAGAGGACGAGTGCGGCATTGTGACCTGGATGGAGGGATGAGAGAGTTGGAGGGGAGGAAGGAGAGAAGAGGACGAGTGCGGCATTGTGACCTGGATGGAGGGATGAGAGAGTTGGAGGGGAGGAAGGAGAGAAGAGGACGAGTGCGGCATTGTGACCTGGATGGAGGGATGAGAGCTGGAGGGGAGGAAGGAGAGAAGAGGACGAGTGCGGCATTGTGACCTGGATGGAGGGATGAGAGAGTTGGAGGGGAGGAAGGAGAGAAGAGGACGAGTGCGGCATTGTGACCTGGATGGAGGGATGAGAGAGTTGGAGGGGAGGAAGGAGAGAAGAGGACGAGTGCGGCATTGTGACCTGGATGGAGGGATGAGAGAGTTGGAGGGGAGGAAGACAGCTTGGGAGGAGGGCGAGAGGACATTGGTTAAGTATCTCAGGGACGTCGACATACTGACACTAAAAACAGATTGAGGTAAAAAAAACCTGTCTAAAATAAGAAAACGGTAGACAAGGTGAATGGAAGCAGGTCTGCTGGTTTCCTGCATGTAGGCTGGAGCAGGTGGTGACCCAAATAGCCATGAACTGACAGCGTTTTAACTACTTTGCAGATATGAAACAAACAGACAATCATAATATAAGTAAAAAATATAAAATACCCAGTTTATGCTTCAAAACCAACTTCATAAGAGGTTTTGACATACATTAAGGCACTGTTGGCAGAATAGATGGATGCAGTTCAATGCATGATTAATATAATTCACCAATACATTTCTTGGTAGTCCCAAAAATATTGCTATCAGGTTGTAAACCACAGCTGGCCTTGTACATTGTTTGCTGCCACAACCCATTTGGGATGCACCGTTTCAGTTTCAATGACTCAATATTCTGAACAAAATCGGATGACTAACTAAGGCTGGGAATGTCAATACACGCAAACTAGCAGGGGCAATGATCACAAGTCAGTCATAACATGGCTAATAGGCTAGTGCACGTGTCAAACACAAGCGAGTATAAATGAGTCAACAGTTGAGTCATCTACTTTATGAAATGACAGCCTGATGTGCTCTTGTCGGTGAATTCAACTTCAATTGCGCTGATTTCGTGTGTCCCGTTTCCGGCGCGCAGCAGAGGGAAAGTGTACAGACACATACCACAGCCCTAGCTAGGCTACTAACATGTTGCAGACTGGCTTTGGTTTTTAAAGCTTGACAATTTCAACTACAATAGCTACATTTTGAGTGTACCATAGAGCAATGCTGAATTCAACTACACTGATGATCCACGCAGTGCAAAAAAATTAAAAACATGTTTTAAGTTTAAATGATAGTTACCTTTGTGTTACTTGGGAGTTATTAAATACTTTTTGATTATGGTCACAGCATATTATGCACATTTGCAAGCATATCAGCAAAGACTGGACAAATATTATTTCTCTTTTGTTTTAATATGTTCATAAGTAGACATTATAAAGGGCCATATTTTTACAAATAAAACTATGACCAGTTTGGATCGCAGTTGCACGTTTTGTTGTAAAAACAAATAGGCTATGTCTGGTCCGCAAATTCGTTGTGTTTTTTTAAAATATGGTCTGTGCGCTGATTGAGTTTGACACCCCTGGGCTAGCTTATCTATTTATGTAGCTAGCTATTTATTTCGCAAGCTAAAAACACAGAGCCTAACGTTAGCTAGCTAGCTGCTGGGAAGATGTCATGTCATTGGAGGAGGGTGAGTGACCAACTTTTCCCTCTCATATCGTTTTTCATTGGCTACAGCTAGAGAAGCTGCAGGTGTCATTTGGTTAGCTAGCAATAAATGTTAATCGCTTTGCTAGCTAGCTTGCTATGCTGAACTTGAACGACTTATCCACAGTTAGCATATCTCTTAGTTGTCAATCAAATGTATTTGGCATCGATTAAATGGGCGGGCAGGGAAGTTCCCATTCAGTTGTCAAAACATGGGTTGGGACAAGCACGCATTGGCAGGCAAGCTGCAGAAGGACGAGCAGACTACTATTCCCCATCGTTTATCAGTGCCATTTTGACCGCCAACTAGCTGAAAAGGCTTTTCTAATGTTCTCTCATTAGATTTTAGCTCATCTCACTCTGACTAGCATTAGTTGTTGATCTTGTTGTGAATAGGCAACTAGCCTACCTTTTCATGGTTGTTTGATCAATAGGACTGTGAAGTTCCCAAATGTAAGACTCCCTAGGTATTTACATATTTGCAGAAATCCATTCCGGTGTATTTTGTGGCGAATGCATTCTGATGATCTAAAGTCGTGCTGTTGCTACTGCCTGTAAGCACACAGTCCAGTTCAAAGTGAATGATGGCAGGCCTGTGTGGCAAATGGCTTAATTGCATATAGGCCTACTGTAGCTTTGATTGGCTACGGCACACCGGTCTGTGTAGACTCCGTTCCTGGACACGACAGAAGTTTTTATTCTGTTTTATTTACTGCAGTGTCTATTAATTGTCCAAACGCACAACCGCTTTCCCTCTATATTGCTATAGAATTTTCACAAATGATTACTATATGTAATTCCCAAACATTCTATGAATTGATGAAAACGTGAAAAATGACCATATCTATGTTCTCGCTTGTCAGAAAATGTAAAAAATAAAATAAAATGTAATTCTTCCTGGGGGTCTATATGAACAGATTTTAATAAGATTTCATGTTGCTAAAATGCTGTCAGTTCCACTTTAATTGGGTTGCTCTCCCATCGGGTGCCACAGTGGCCTTGGTAGAACTCTCAGCGTTGCAGGTGGCACCTAGGCTGGCAGGGAGAAGCCACACAGCTCTCAGACCAGACCATATTGGGAGGGTTGACACTTAAGCTCAACAGGTGGAGGCGATAAAACCGACACCGCTTTTCATGTGGGCCACAATGGCGAGTAAGGATAGAGGAAGTAGAACAAAGAGAGGTGCCTGGTTTACAGTAAGTGAGGGTTCTGTTTTGACACCATCATGCCAACCCAAACCGTACTGGCTCTGATGTTTTTTCGTTTACATTATCCTTTCCAGCACGATTACAACCCCTATGGTAGATGCATAACCAGGCCAGACCTGTACAGCTTGACAGTCAATTCGGCTCAGCAGTGTGAAAAACGGTACAATTTAGCGACGAATTCGAGACAAAAGCCAGCCATTTGTGACTCGTTTCAGGAAACTAGGCATATGTCGCGAGTCACTACTTCACAGGAGAGGCATTTGAACGCAATTTGTTTTATTTTAACAAAATGCGTTTTTTGGCAGAAATGCCCTCTGGAACATGTGAACTTTCATGTGCCTTTAAAACAAACTTGTATGCCACGGAAAAAGACAGGACCTTCCCGCTAGCCATGATTGGCTCAGATAATGGATGGGCTGGACATGCCGAGAGATGAGTTCGGATTGGTCTGCCATGTAGCTCGCTTCTGTCTATAACATGAGCTGCTTAGTATGTGTAGGTAATCCTTTCTAAAGCAGCTTTTTTGAAAGATATCACGAAAAACTGCACAAGTGTTGCTAAGGCTCTCCACTTTCTGGAGGACCGAGTTTTGAAATCATCGGAATGCCCGGTGGAAGCAGAGTATGATAGCTAAGGAGATGGAGAAAATTCAGGCATTTGATTGCAGATATGCAGAGGGAGTCGAAAAGAGAACACAAAAGGCTGTTGTATAAACCACCTGTCTAGATTACATCTTCAAACTAAGGGCAACCATGGCATCCGTGACAGAGGGAGAAGCGTTCATCCATGTATACGGGTAAGATATTATACGTTTCTAATTTTGTCAGAAAGTCGTTTTCATTGCAAATTAAAGCGTACTGTTAGCTAGCTAGCGTTAGACCAAATTGAGGCGGTCGGTCACATTGTCTGAGCTCTGACTATTACTTCTGACTTTACGTGCCAAGATTATGCTGATGTGTGCTTGATAATGATTTGCTGCTGGTCAGACTCACACTTCCTCCATCTCCACGTCATCCTCCACAGAGAGCAGCAGGTAGGGGTTGTAGGAGGCCGGGCGGAACTTATGGCCCGTCAGGAAGAAGAACGCCAGCGTGGCCAGCTCATCCAATAGCTGAAGACAAGGAGGAGAGAGAGCGAGAAAGAGACATGGGTAGAAATAAAAAGTGTGTCAGTACATTGTAACAGCTAAATGTAAATAAAATAAATGGATAAAAAATGATTTTTCAATCAAACTGGTTTTACTAAGGATTAACATACTGTTAAAGTATTTAACTTGGACTACTGTATCTATATATAGTATTATTTTACCGTTAAAAAAAACATAGGTGAACACCCACCTGGTACAGCCACTTCCACTGAAAGGGAACAATGAACTTGATGAGAATGGCGATTATACGGGTGAAATAAATATAGCATACAATCTGAAGGAGAGAGAGAAATACAGACATTAGATAACCGATAAACAACAATTTGCTGAACATAGATATAAACACGTAACTGGATCATCCCTCTTTTTAGAGAGCGAGAGGGAGACAGGCAAATAGGGAAGCATAGAAAGCAAAATGCGTTTACATAATCAGGAAGATTGACATTGGCTGACAATCTGAACATCAATACAACCGATCAAGATGGAGGAGAAAGCGAGAACCCATTTGGTCTGCAGAGTGGACATTACAATAAGAGAGGAAAATTAAAACACCAACAAGACAGACAAATAAAAAAAACAGACCTTCAACAGAGAAAGACACCGCAACTGTTGTAATAACTTTATGGCGGGATTTCACACGTGACTATTCATGATTAAATGAATACAAATAGAGAGCTGTGAAAGTGGAGTGTTTTTAGGGAGTCCCGTACAGACAGACGTAGACACAATGCTTGGTGTGTTTCCATTTAAAGGCGTGCGTGTGGCTGTGTGGCCTGCAGTGTGTATTGCTGGAGTGGTGTGTGAGGAGACAGAGTGTGTCAGAAGAGCATGAAAGAGGAACCTTACCATCACATAGTAGTGCCTGAAGAGCTTCAACTGGGCAAGGTTGATGGCAGCTGCAAAAAGACATGAGCAAAAAAAAGCACATTCATTAGTAAGATAGCAAAGACCAAATCCCGGGAGAGCTTTTCAACAACATCTGTCATTTCCCTCCAAAAATAAACATGGCTCATTTGAGTCACCTTTTAGAGCAGTCAGGGGATGAAGAAAGGGGTTTTCTAGAAGTAGAGTATATGGAACTTTTTTTTATTAAAACACCTCTAAAACAGAACATTGAATGAATCAGACGGGTAAAGGTTAGGGGTAGTTCTAATTTGAGGAGTTTTGCTGACAATTCGAATGCATGTGATCCAAGACGTTTGGCCCGATAAAAATCTGTAGAAGGCTAAAAAGGCCCATCAGAGAAGACTGAGTGTTGGATGTAATAATGCTGCAAAGTGCCTTGATGCAATCTGAACCCCTTCCAACAGAAATGTGACCCGAGGGGAAAGAAATGGAGGGCGACTTGTACAGTAATTTATCATTCTCACACCGTACAACTTCTTCCACAGAAGTGGGCCTTCAAAAAGGGGACAGTAAGTATCAAGTGTGGATCTTACTGTGACCTAGTTAGGACAAAAAAAGCCACTTTGAAACCAGGTGAGCAATTCTGGAAGTGCTGTAACAACCTACTGTAGAATCGAGGAATTTTAACACTATGTGCCGTAATCTACTCAGCCTACAGCGGTTACCTACCCATAAAGACAGACTTCTGAAGCTACACTAGGTTATTCAACCCTAAATGATTTATAAAAAAGACGCTTTCTAGCAGGCGAGGTTGACATACAGACATCCATGTGGCTCTGAGTGATAACTTCTGCTCTGATGAATAAATGATATGTACCACACATACTGTACACAAACGTGCGCGCGTGCACACAATTTTGACACTAAGAAGTGAAGAGCTAAGGGAGTTGATACAGGTGCACTGAGGACGAAACGAAACTCAATTAGCGGCATGGATCCAAATTGTGCGCCGCCCTATGGGACTCCCAATTACGGCCGGTTGTGATACAGCCTGGAATCGAACCAGGGGGTCTGTAGTGACGCCTCAAGCACTGAGATGCAGTGCCTTAGACCGCTGCGCCACTCGGGAGCCCAAATAGTGGATCATTCATTTGGAATGGTTACTCCATTATCTCTATGGGCTGTTCATTGACTTAACGGAGCATCCACGTAGAATTGAAACTGGTCAATCAATTACAGTTTAATAGGAGGTCACTCAAAGAGAAAAAAAGCACTTGAAGGCACGATTCCTAAATCTTCATGAATGTTGTCTGAAAATTGACGTTTTCTCGCATCGAATTGTATTCAATGTAGTTTTGGATAGACAGCAATCAATTTCTATTTGATCTGTTTAACAACTAGGAATTATAACACTAACACCAAGAATACATGGTAAGATTGCACCTTTAAACCGGTGAACTCTGTCTTTAGAGTCAAAATGGTACAAACAAATATCTTGGGGATTGTCCTATATCATCCTGCCTACTGTTCAATTCAAAAACAGGGGAATGGAGTGTGTCCAAAATTAGACATTTGACCCTATTCACACACAAACAGAACCTTCTCTGAGCTCCCACTCATGAACCAGCTCATTGACAAGTGCCATAAAAAAGATGTCTGTTACAGTGCCCTGATGAGATGAGCCCAACCTGACTGCATGTGAAAAGGCCTGACATTTCGGTAATGAAACAGATCTGGTAGCTGTGCTTTTCCCTTTCCTCACCTGGTCTAATCAAATCGCGAGAGCATTAGTAGAATGGGAATTAATGAGGTAGCTGAAAACGTCAATAGAAAAACTGCTGCATGGGACAAGAAGGGGAGGAGAACAGAGCAGTGGTATTCTACCGTTACCTACAAGTTCCTGAGCCTGATGGTTTTCTGTTCTACCTGATAATTATACTGAACAAATATATAAAAACGCAAAAAATGTAAAGTGTTGGTCCCATGTTTCATGAGCTGAAATAAATTATCCCATAAATGTTCCATATGCACAAAAAGCTTATTTCGCTCAAATTCTGTGCACAAATTTGTTTACATCCCGGTTAGTGAGCATTTCTCCTTTGCCAAGATAATCCATCCACCGGACAGGTGTGGCATATCTAGAAGCTGATTAAACAGCATGTTCATTACACAGGTGCACCTTGTGCTGGGGACAATAAAAATTTGCAGTTTTGTCACACAGATGTCTCAAGTTTTGTGGGAGCGTGCAATTGGCATGCTGACTGCAGGAATGTCCACCAGAGCTGTTGACAGCGAATTGAATGTTCATTCCGCTACCATAAGCCGCCTCTAACATCGTTTTACAGAATTTGGCAGTACGTCCAACCGGCCTCACAAACGCATACCATGTGTAACCACGCCAGCCCAGGACCTCCACATGCGGCTTCTTCACCTGCAGGATCATCTGAGACCAGCCACCCACACAGCTGATGAAACTGAGGAGTATTTATGTCTGTAATAAAGCCCTTTTGTGGGGAAAAACTCATTCTGATTGGCTGGGCCTGGCTCCCCAGTCATGTGAAATCCATAGATTAGGGCCTAATGAAATGATTTCAATTGACTGATTTCCTTATATGAACTGTAACTCAGTAAAATTGTTGCATGTTGCGTTTATGTTTTTTGTTCATCCATCTGACACATTCTTTCGAATGAAATAAATATCCCTGGAGCCTTGGTTATTGTATTCTCATTTGTATGAGCTATAGCAAGTTCCTTGGCAATATGACTTGGCAGTGGCATATGTTTGTACTGGTCCCCCGTGGGAATCGAACCCACAACCCTGGCATTGCAAGCGCCATGCTCGACCAACTGAGCCACATGAGCTACCGAGACATTGGCTTACCGCCGAAAGAGTGTGGAACTGTGCAACTATCAGGATGTAAACCCTGGCATGGAAAAATAGTTTTGAATGCAACGCTGCTCTTTAAAGGCTCTCTCATTCCTCACCACAGCCCCTGACCATCATAAGCCAATCAGAGCTTTAACCGATCAAAGCCCTTATAAACCTCAAAATGAACACCCCCCCCCCCCCCCCCCCCCCCATGACAACATTTACATTACATTATAGTCATTTAGCAGACGCTCTTATCCAGAGCGACTTACAGTTAGTGAGTGCATACATTATTTTTTTAAATATTTTTTTTTATTGGCCCCCCGTGGGAATCGAACCCACAACCCTGGCGTTGCAAACGCCATGCTCTACCAACTGAGCTACATCCCTGCCAGTCCATTCCCTCCCCTACCCTGGACGACGCTGGGCCAATTGTGCGCCGCCCCATGGGTCTCCCGGTCGCTGCCGGCTACGACAGAGCCTGGATACGAACCAGGATCTCTAGTGGCACAGCTAGCACTTGCGATGCAGTGCCTTAGACCACATTACCCAACACCTTGGGTCCCAGCTCTCCTCAATGTCTGAATGTGTGGGAGGGATGAGTCAATGGTTTAAAGAAAGCTGAACTATGACCAACTATGATGTGGAATGCAGGGTGAAGCACAAACAGTGAAGGGAGGGCAATGAATAAGTTAGTCAGTTGGAGAGCATCCAGCTATGACAGAAGAAAACGCTCACTATAAAACTAAGCTTTTAGGAGAAAGTCAAAAATAACACTGCCCATGACCTAGATTAGGATTTGCCCTTAAAATATTCACCATTTCACTCCACAAACAACTTTATTATTTTTCCCAAAAGACTTTGGAATTGTTTAAACTTTTATGAGAGGTTGCTTGGGTTCTGACTAAAATAGCTGGGGTGAAAAACTATTCCAGACTACAGTTTTAAACTTTGTGGTTGGGAGTAGGACCATGGACATGATGATATGGAGTTGATTTTAAGTGGAAAGGTCCCATTAGATTAAAAGTTTTAACTCCCTGCTTGCACTTGTTATTGAATATGCTGTCACGGTAAGGTGACCAACTGCAGAGAAGCACTGGCACACAAACATTTATGTTTTTTTAAGTGAACAAGCAGCATACCTTTCCCATCTGTTGATGACGCCTCTTGTAAATGTCTGATGGACCTGTGGACAAGTGAGAAAAGGAAAACGTCAGACCAAGTGGAAAACTGGAGAAGAGTGGCCATTATCTAAAATAATCTGTCTTTCAGCTGGTCTCTGGGTACTTTGGGGCGGGGCACCTTGAAAACCAAATCCTAGGGGAAACACTGCCCATAGAAACCTCAGTCAGAACTCACCAGACCACGGGGAAGAGGATGGCACCGCAGCACAGCAGGTCCACTAGGAAGAGCACCTCTTTCCACAGGCCGTACTCCGTGGTGCCCTCCTCTGTCGACTCTAAGATTATGTACGCCACGTTTGCCAGCACCTGGAGGGGTCAAAGGTAATGTGCTCCCATCAGTGCCACTGCAGTCCGCACTAGGTTGCTTTTGGCGAAAGATTTCTAAGATCAGCCTATCCCTTGTCACTATATACATATTACCCATCATCGTGGTAGTCTTGCCTTTAGGTACAAATCTAGGATCAGCCCATCTTGTCATTGTAGACGTTATCAACTACAATGGTAATCTTGCTTCAACAGTTAGATGGTTCTACATGCATGGTATTGTACCTGTAGTGGAATGACGATCATGAAGATCTTCTTGTCCTTATCCGAGAGGATGTGCTTGACAAAAGCCCAGCCGGTCCCTATCAGGGCAATGGTGATGAATAAGAGTGCCCCCTTCAGTCTGCAGAAAGAAACACAAGCATTGCTCGCTCATACAAACTGACATAACGACACTGATACGTTTCAGTGCAGGTGAAGAAGGGGAGACAGTGAGGAGGCCATTTTACTGGTGAGACTTACAGGTGAGTGATATAGTAGACCACAGCCCATCCTTCTATGGGGAAGCCCTGGTTAGAGATGTAGTAGTAGTCAATCTGGAAGACAGACGTCACAGTCAATGACTCAAGCTGATATAAAAAAGGGGACAAACTAAACTATATTCAATTTGATTCAATTTTTAACCTCAAAACTCGGAAGCACCACTTTTTTTAGCAGTTAAATACAGCAAGGCTTGGATTGTAGTCCGTGTGCTCACCGCGTGGAAGATGAGTGAGAGAGACTTGGTGAAGGGGAGAGCTGTCATGAGCCAGTGGATTTTATAGACATCAGCACTGCCAGAGAGAGAACAAGAGGGGTGGGGGGGGTAACAACATTGGGTAGGTTTATGCTGATGCCAATACATTAATAATGAATCTCAACTCAACTAGGGAAATAGTTATCCTTGTAAGTCGCTTTGGATAAGAGCGTCTGCTAAATGATGTAAATGTAAATCATTTGGAGGAGTAGGGTAATCCCATGATATTGCGTTGGTATGGAGGTAAATGTTTGGCTATATGGTGCCCTCTACTGGTCACTGTAAAACAATGCAGGCGTGACTGAGGCAAGACCTCTGCTAATCATTTACATTTGAGTCATTTAGCAGACACTCTTATCCAGAGCGACTTACAGTTAGTACATTTCAATAGCATTTTCTCAGGAGCTCATAGAGCAGTCATAGAGCACTCTGAGGTAAAGGGTCATTACATGAGGCACACTGCGTGGCATGCTGACTGATCAGACTAGTGAAGATAAGGGAAAGGTGGATACCTAGTCAGTTGTACGACAATGCATTCAACCGAAATGTGTCTTCCGCATTTAACCCAACCCCTCTGAATCAGGACAAACAGAATAGTCACGCAGTCTTCTTCAAGTCTTAAGAAAGGCACAGCAATTATCAACACAGTGCGGACATCTCCTGTGCCGCAATACCCCCCCCCCCTCCTGGGCAACTCACCGCTGAGTGCGGAGAACGTGCAACCACAGTGTTCCGAGGAAAAAGAAGAACATAGACATGATGATGTAGAGCTTTGGCAGGGGGATCTCTCCAGCAGACAGGAAGCTGTTGGGGTTCTTCTCCTCGATGCTGATCTGAAAGCATCCCAAATGTTGGTTATACAAAATTTGACCATTCAGACACAATGATGACCAAGTGTGGCTAAAATAATGTTTCATTTTATTATAAAATAATGTTCCTGATGTGATTTAGACAACATAGAAAATGAGGAAAAAGTGGATATTGGTATGGGGCTAGGTCCATTTCAATGATGTACGAATAGAGGATGATGTCCTTCTGACTAATCAGGAAATATCACACCCGATAAACCAGATACAAACTTCAACTTGCAATAAAGAAAACTACGAAGAGGGTCTAAGAAACTCACTTCCATGCTGAAGCGGAGGGGGTTAACCATTTGAGTGTCTTTGCTGTAGCAGTTGTGGAAGTAGAAGTTGTACAGGCCTTGCTGCTCGTCTGTGCTGACGTTGAAGTGAAACTGCACACAGGGAGTAGAAAAACCATCTGTGACCTGTGTAGCCCAACTCAGGCTAAATAAATTATATTAGCCTGGTGAACGACTCTTACCTGAAAGGAAAATACTTCTTTGTTTCTATGGAGTGGAAAAGGCACTTCAGCCTTTTTCTGTGAATGTCAAGAAAAGAGAGTGACATCAGAAGACGTGCTTTGATGAAATGATGGCTGGATCACAATCCTTAAAAAGTCCTCATTCACAAACCCTTGGCTAAATTAGTAACTGGGTAAAACCCTTTATCTGGAATGCAGCCCTTGGGAGCCACTGGTTTTCCTGTATAATTTCCATTTGGTGACAGACCGACATAGATAAGAGAGAACAGGTCCCTTGGTGAATCAAACCCACTAAATCAATCAAAACCACTTAAATCAGTTTTCAGAGGAAAAACAGTGACAGTCCAAACCAGAGATAAAGCATGTTGGAATTACTGTGCAAATAAACTTGTTTCACAAAAAGCTTTCACAAAACGTTGTTTTGTTGATTAATAGTTATATTTAAATGTGCAAAATAAATGTTGTATAAGGATGACCCAGGAAACATAGTCACGTATTTTAATGGAGTGTGACCCTAAGAAGATCTTTGTAATATGCTTACAAAACCGCCAGACACCAGGGCTCCAATGAAAAATATGTACCATTTTGCCGTCGGCATGGGTAAATGGACGAGGGAGCAAGATTGAGATCCAGATACTTATGTTCGTACATTGTTTGAGGTCAAAGGGTTACATAGTATCTATACTGAACAAAAATATAAATGCAACATGGAAAGTGTTGGTCCCATGTTTCATGAGATGAAATAGATTATCCCAGAAATGTTCCATACGCACAAAAAGCTTATTTCTCTCAAATTATGCACAAATTTGTTTCATCCCTGTTAGTGAGCATTTCTCCTTTGCCAAGATAATCCATCCACCTGACAGGTGTGGCATATCAAGAAGCTGATTAAACAGCATGATCATTACACAGGTGCATCTTGTGCTGGGGACAATAAAAGGCCACTAAAATGTGCAGTTTTGTCACACAACACAATGCCACAGATGTCTCAGGTTTTAAGGTAGCATGCAATTGGCATGCTGACTGCAGGAATGTCCACCAGAGCTGTTGCCAAATAATGTAATGTTAATTTCTCTAAGATAAGCCAATGTTGTTTTAGAGAATTTGGCAGTACGTCCAACCGGCCTCACATCCGCAGACCATGTGTATGGCGTTGTGAACAGAGTGCCCAATGGTGGCGGTGGGGTTATGGTATGGGCAGGCATAAGCTACAGACAACGAACACAATTGATTTTTATCATGGTAATTTGAATGCACAAAAATAGTGTGACTAAATCCTGAGGGCCATTGTGAGGCCCATTTTTTAAAAGGTATCTGTGACCAACAGATGCATATCTGTATTCCCAGTCACGTGAAATCCATAGATTATGGCCTAATGAATTTATTTCAATTGACTGATTTCCTCATATGAACTGTAACTCAGTAAAATCTTTGAAATCGTTGCACGTCGCTTTTATATTTTAGTTCAGTATATGTTGAGGAATATTCTTACCTCTGCAACATCCCGCTTGGATTTACTCTCACCTAGGATTCAAAGGACAACATTGAGAACAAGTTTAGTACAGCAGATAAACAAACAATATATTCAACCATTGGTCATTACTTACACTGCTCAAATGCAGAATTCCTCAGCTATCTCGAACTTTGGCGTAAATCTACCATCAATGCAAGTTTACAACATGTCCTCATCTCAAGTCAGTATTTATTCAGCCCTAAATAAATGTATGAACTTTAATGAGGAAACCATACCGTCACCATGGTCTCCCACAGGGTTGGCGTCCTCTTTCACCTTTACAGGTTTCTGTTGGTCAGCTCCAGTCTCAACGCCTATCGTCTCTCGGAGGCCAGGGAGGATGTCAGGGAACACATTCTCCTCAGATGACATTTTCATCTTCACCCTGAGTCACACACACACAATACATGTTTAGCCAAAGTTATGGTATAAAATGCAGCTGGCAATAACTTCAAAAATAATGTTTGGCTGTTTAAAGCCACACTCCTCAATATGATTCCACCCACAGTGAGCCCATAACTCTTACCAGGCCGTCATTGTAAAAAATGATTTGTTCTTAATTGACTAGCCTGGTTAAATAAAGGTTAAATAAAAAACCTTTATTTGTAAACAATGGTAACTCTTTGTAGAGGGCACATGGGGTTGCCAGCGGTCAGACAGAAACTCACTCATTTTTCTTGAAGTCAAATAACAGCAGTGCCACAGCGACATCACTGCTGGGAGACTTCTTAAGGACACAGTAGTCCAGATCTTGATCATCCTGTGCACATGCACACCAAACGTTACTGATCTCATACTGTTAGTAGGAGTAGCTCCTGTGTGTAGGCCTAGTTCGTGTTGAAAAGCTTCAGTAATAACAAAACAGCTCATCTTAGACTAGATTGAATACTCACTAAATACGTGGAGAAGCCATTGCTGCTCGTCCTATCCAGACTGAATCCAACCTGAATAAGAAACAGGCAATGATTACAAAATCGACGTTGGTCAGACCCATGCATTTAGTAAATAAGAAGACTAAATGTACCTGGCTACATCATTTCCCAATGTTGAGATTTCTTAAATGGGACTTCTCATGCAATCACAATACCTAGGAAAGTTATTGAACTGACATTGAAATGGATCTTACCGTGGAGCTGTCAATCTTGTCCAGATTCTCCCCAGTAAGGGTAAGACTGGACATATTCACTATCATGTAACCATGTTTGTAGAAGCCAAAAGTGTTCAGGTGGACTTTCTGCCGAATGTCATCCTGAAAGAATGTACGTGACAAATACACATTTATTTTGATCAACGTCACTTTTCATTGACGTTGTTGCGTCAGTGTATTAAAGAGATGAGCTGGCCACAACACACTTAGTCAATAATTGTGGCCTAACATTTTTTATCACAGTACAAGGTGGCCAGCTAGCCAGCTATTAAAGCAGAAGCAACATAGCTAACAAGTGTAGCGCTTGTTAGCTCAAACGTTCAGTGGATAAACATGTTCAATACAATTAGAGACGAGCAAGTATTAGGACGTCATGTCGTATCCACAGCAAATTAGCTACACTAGGCACTACATTTATTATGATGAACCGCTAGCTAGCTAGCAGCTAGGTCTGATTGACATGAAACCCTATTCGCTTTTGAGACAGCACGCGGCAATATGAAACTGGCAAATACACCTACCTTGAGTATAAGGTGATGTAACCTGCAATGGCTTTCTCTGAGAAATAACAAAAATAACACAATAGTAGCCGTCAACATATATATTTTGTCGGTCGCCATTTTTCTAAAAAATCATAATTGCAAGCAACACACTTCCGGCAGGATCTACGTACTGACGCATTAAGAAAAAAATTCAGCTACGTCGTACGTTTTAGATAATCTTTTGTTTTGGGTAATTCTTCGTCTTCTTCTTCTGTTGGTTTTATCGTCGGTTGGCATCCAACGTTATGGTGCATTACCGCCACCACCGTACTGGAGTGTGGGCCAGAGACAGGGATAAACTAACTCCTACCTGCCAACCCTGTCTCTCTTAAAAAAGACAAAATATGTGATACTATATCTAATGACGTTCTACTCAATATACTCTTTAAACTAATTTCCTGTATCCCCTTCTCCCTCATACTGAATCTCATCCTCTCTTTCCCTCTGATACTGCCCACACTGTAGCAATACATGCTCCAGTCTCTATTTCCTGACAATAATCACATTTTCCTGATGGATGCTTTCCTATCACGCTTAGTGTCTTATTCAACTGGCTGTGTCCCACCCTTAATCTTGTAAATATAGCCTCCTCTCTTCTGTCCCTTCCTACAGTCCTCCCCTCCCCGACTTTCCTCTGTACTTGAAATAAATGCCTTCCCTTAATATTTATATTCCACTGCTCCTTCCATCTCTGTATATATCAGTCTTTTAGCCTCTGCCTTGCTCATTGACACTTCAACATCCCCATTTTGGGTAATTATTTGTTCCTCGTATTTTTGTACCAAAAATACAATACTTTTCCTCATCTGTTTAACAACAAATGACATGTTCTGTTAAAAACAATTTCACCTTCATTGGCTACATTCCAGGCCGTGTGCAAAGCAAGTCAAGCACCAAATAGCAATGCCTGGAATACAGGAACCACATTAACTGCTGCTAAATGACTAAATGGTAGTGTGCTTCCAAACTGGACAATATGATGCATAAGAAAACACATCTCTGTTAATGATCAATTTAATTACTTTAAGTGCACATACATATACAACTATAGCATTTCTCTAACATTTTAAGACCACCTTGAAAGAGATTTGGTAATAGTCTAGCAGTTTCTAAATATTGGCTGCATTCCAGGCCAACTACATTGCTGTCACCTGCCAGATCTCACAACGCCTGGATCATATCAGCTAACTGTAGCATATGATGTAGCAATCTTATGCCTGGCTGTGCAGTCGATGATAGGGCACCCATTAGTTGCTGTGTGTACTGCAGCGTGACTGCAATATAGTCAGACTGGAACAGGACCATTCACTCAACTTAAGTGCTAATTTTTATAGTACCTGGGGTGTAATCATTAGTCCAAAACATTTTGTAACAAAAATAAGTTTCTACTTTCTATTTGACAAATTCATGTAGATCCCTCCATGTTTCATTCCGTTTGGTTCCTAGTGAATACACCCCTGGTGATTTTCTTTGGGGGGGGAAACACTGGGGTGTATTCATTAGTCCGTTTCCATTGCCAAACGTTTTGTAACAAACAGTTTCCTCCAAACTGAAAAACATTTGTAACAAAAATAGTTTATATTGGACAAATTCAGGTAGGTCCCTCCGGTTTTGTTTGGTTACTAGATTAAAAAGGTTCCGTTGCAAGAAGCTTTGTAACAGAATCCGACTAACGAATACACCCTACCTCTAGAGCATGATTGTGGGTTTCGTTACAATGACATACAATTGCGCTCTCAGACAAATTCACAAGGCAGTGAACATTCTGAAACGTTAATGGTCACAAAGCAAGTGCAGTATAAAAGAAGACTTATCAGTTATGACACCTAAGTCGAGAGTAATTTACAGACAGATTTTAGGCAGATCATTTGTTTGTTTACATTGTGGTCAACACTACAGGTCTAGTTTAATTGTAAAGGCTTTACATTTTTTACAAGGGAGAATATCTGATTTACAATTACAATGACAGCTACATGAAACACATTTGAAATGTTTAAGAATACTGTCAACATTATACAAAATGGCTTTTGTTTACAAATAATGCAAGTGTGAAAGATCGGTGAATGACGATCTCACTAGGAAATACTTTGCAAGAAATCCAGTTAATGTTGCAACCCTCTTCCTTTGGCTCTTATTGGCAGCAATGAAATGGACAGGAAAGAATGCCATTCTTGTACACAACCCAAAGAAACGTACTGGGTGGAAAGAGTGAGGCCTTGACCAACCCTTTCCACGCTTTTTCTTTGGATTACCTGCCATTTTACGGGCCTACCGTCCCACTGCCTTCTTCTCACACGCTTTTAAAGCACAATACCACTTCGCATAAACAATTACAGTCAACACTCATGTCATACTGGAAGGCGCACATTTCCCCCAAGAGTCCATGTAAACAGTTTTGGCTTCAAGTATAAGACTTAGGGGTTGATATTAGTTTTCTACTGTTGGAGACTATCTGAACCCATTTTAGTTGCATAATCACCCAGTTTATAATTGCTTAATCCGCTTATTAGTAGTAATAACTTGTCATTGGTTAGGATGATCCTTCTACCCCCCCCCCTCCCCTAAAAAAAAAACAGGGTGGTTGTCCCACTGGCTATCCTAAGTTGAATGCACCAATTTGTAAGTCGCTCTGGATAAGAGCGTGTGCTAAATGACGTAAATGATGTTGGAACTGGAGTTGTATTGCAGCGGGGGTGGGGGGGGCTAGAGTGTGTGTTAGAGACTGTAGTCTCGCTCTCACACACACACCTGCCCACAAAGGTTCTGGACTCAGGCTAACATCAATAGGAGGGAGGAACAGACTGAGTTCTTGCCCAGCGACTGACTGTTTATCCTAGACACAAAGAGGTGACCCGGCATAAATATATATGCTTGTGTGACATGTGTGATCCTCAGTAAGGCTCTATGTGGTACTGGCTAAAACATTTGACATGAACTTGTATTGGCCAGAGCCCTCTACTTATCAATAGAAATAGATGGTTATGGCATTGACAATTTCTATTAGACTTACCAAGGACTGGGGGTGACACAAAACCCTGTTGCCTGGTACAAACTTGATTACCTGCCAGTAAGCATAGCCAACATAAGCTTTCCCTTAGGCTGTATGATATCCCAGCATTTAGCTCTCTCTCCAGAGAGGGTTTCTTCTTGATTCTGCTTTTGCCCTTACCAGACAAACCAAGCCAATCTGATCTATTGCCGTTCTGACAGAACCGTCCCTTTAAGAGGCAAAGGAAGGGTCGAGGTGTTTCAGGACGCCCCCGACCAGATGGAGGCTTCCAGCGACGAGGACGTGGATGCCAGTGGCATCTCTTAGTGGAGCGGCTTTGGCCGTCACGCTGGGCTTGACAGGGATGACCCTCTTGTCCGGGTGTGCCAAGACCGAGTCCCTGCCCTGGCTGAGCCACTGGAGGGCGCTGAGGATGCAGGGGAAGACAAGGGTTTTGCTGCAGCGCTCGGTTGCCACCAGGGGGAGCGCGTCGCGGGAGATGAGCAACTGGGCGCCGGGCTTCTCCTCCTGGCCGTTGAGCAGGCGCCAGCTCCTCTGGTTGTCCAGGCAACGGGTGAGCATGTTTTCCACGGAGACGTTGAAGTTTTGTTGGTCTGAGAGGAGAGCGGGAAGGCGTTGGGGGGGGGGGGGGGTTACACAATGTTACTATGCTATCAAATGGGTATAATTTAAATGGCCATTGAACGCCAGTAAATATGGTAGATTGTACCTTTAAAGAAAGGGAAATCACATGCAGAACTATTATTTTATTAATAGAAAGTTATTTTATTTTCACTTTTCAAACATTAATAGCCAGAACATAAAATCAACACTTGGGCCAATAGAGTTATGAAATGTTTGCTGGCTTGGACACCATGTTAACTCAGCAACGTTTCCTTTGCCCTTCCATTGACAGTGGGGTGAGAACAAGCTCACATCTACACCAATGACATTTCATGGCCAGTCGCTCCGCATAATTACAACGGCAGAACTATTCAGTTATGTTTGGATGAATCACTACGTCACTAACATGACCCAAAACAATTATCTTCAATGTTAGACAAGTCATACTATGCTACTGTTTGCTCTAACTGTCAAGCCACATTCATTGACAAAGTAGTTGATTAATAACCAGGAAAGCCTGACTCAAAGACACCATGTATGTTATGCCTGTCTTACCTGCGTTACATGATGCAATGGCCTCTGTGATGTTGGGGCAGAACACAGCAAAGTCAAAATGGCATGGCTGAAAACCCCATAGCGAAAAAACTATCAGTTACAGTTGTCCTACAAACATGGCATATATTTTTACTTTTTAGTCATTTAGCAGACGCTCTTATCCAGAGCAACTTACAGGAGCAATTAGGGTTAGGTGCCTTGCTCAAGGGTACAACAGATTTTTCACTTAGTCAACTTGGGGATTCGAACCAGCGACCTTTAAGTTACTAGCCCAACGCTCTTAACCGCTAGGTTACCTGCCGTCCATATATGACGATACCATCACATCAGGATTGGCTAACATTATCTGTGATTGGGAAACACCGATTTTGAATGTGTAGTACTTATCGTTGTTGGGCAGTTAGCCCAGGGTAGCGTACTCACCACCAATAGCTTGAGCATGGCTGCAGAGTCTCTCTCTCCTGTAGCGTTGAACAGTAGCACTCTGACCATAGGTCCACTGTAAGGACACATAGGGGTTAGGTATATGGTTATGACCAGAGTTTTTCAACTGACAGACCTTGCTTGAATTGCAGCGCTCAACACATGGTAAGGTGTGTAGACAACAGTTGACGTGACCACACAGACCCAGTGGAGCAAACTCACACCCAGATACTGACCCTGTGGTCCTTTCGTGTTGGGCGGCAGCCTCGCTGAACCAGCGTACACAGGCCAGCATGCTGCGGGTGGTGTGGGCCCCGTCCAGGAAGTAGGTGACTGGGCCATGCTTCAGAGTCTGGGTCCTCCCCGGCCACTCGGTGTCCTCCAGCCCTATCACCCCGAGAGGAGAGAGAGACTGTTGCTGAATACCAAAATGGGCCCCTAGCATCTACCACAGATCTGAAATGATTAGATGGGCGTAAGCAGGAAGTTGCGCTGGAGGCTTGGTTGGTTCCGAAAAACCCGGGAGTTGGTGTTGAAACCTGGGAACGAATCATGGACCTTGACATACAGTCCACCTAGTCCTCCGCTATAAAGCAATAAGTAATTCATCCCATCCTCAAATTCTGAGAAAACATTTAGCATTTTCCTTACCTATCAATGCTCAGGTAATGTGATTGCGTTCACCCGTTGTCTTCACCCAAGGCTGTTATATTTTTTTGCAGGTGAGTGTGTGGCAGTTGTTCTACTGAACTGACCTTTCGCCATGATGGGGCTTGGCTGGAAGCCAGCGGCCGGCGACACGCCTTTACTCTCGTCAGTGGGGGAGGGGAGGCTCTGGTCTACAGGAGAAGAGCAATACACATGACCTGAAATCACCACACAATCAAAACATGCCAGGTCCAATAATCTCACACCTGTATACACCCAGGTTGTTCCCTAACCCTACCACCCACAGACCAGTTTCACACACACACACACACCTACCAGGAAGGCAGCGTCTCTGTAGCCAGCTGTGGCTGAGCTGCAGGGCGAGGGAGGCGTTGGAGCGCTGGTGGTGGCCGGCCAGGCCCAGACGCAGAGGTCCCGAGTCGGCAGGGTACTCCTCCAGCTCTGGGCAGACCCAGAGAGGACACTGAGGAGGAGGAAGAAGAGACACAGGGTGGGAGAAAGAGAGTCAGACAGTTATTCAAGGACAGTCCGAGGGATAGATATCAACTATCATAATTCACATCAGTCAGATATTACACCATTGTTTGTGTTACGCTGAAATGAGACGTTGTGAAACTATTTGCTAATTTAGTGCTTGCATAGATCATAGAATTTTGACGAGGCTATTTGAAACTGTCATATACCCGCCCAGGATAATTTTTTTGTTAAACCACTGTGAGGTCACGTCTGGTGACTTTTTAAAAGGACATTTTACTCCAAAATGAATAAAGTGGGGCGCCGCTGCTAGATAAATACAGGGGAAACATTGTGTTCATACTTGAATGTAGGCCAATAATCTACAAACAACACTCTACAGACACAATGTTGTATCTTGTGCTTTATGACTTCTTTTTTGGCCCTCACCCCAATCTCCTTTGCTCTCTCTTTGAGAACCGTCATAGGGCCGTCTGGTTGCTTCACAGTAAAGGCAGGAACTCCTGGCTGAGGAGACACGAGAAATAATTAAATAGCGTGAGTAACTCCCAATTTACTATTTATTTCAGCATAGTCAAATGTTAGCACCAGAGGCTTTGCTGACGTTTTACTACATGCATTAAACTATCATGCATCAATTTGGACACTACTTTGTTACATTCTAGAGGCGCTGTTCTGAACCAAACGTCCTGCGCCAGAGAATGTATCAAAAGTGCGGCCTTGACAAAGCAAGAGTTACACTTTGTACTGCAATCTAACCTTAAAAATACCCCCTTTCTGCCAGGCAATTTTCTCGATTGTGTCCCCCAGTATTGAGGTGTGATCTATTCCAAGGGAGGCGATGCCACACACCCACGGCCTCCTGTCAGGGGAGGACATACAGAGCATAGACGACAGACTTTATAGTGGATTCAATGGATCATCACACGAAGCTACTTGGTTTATACAGCAGGGAAAGCTGCTATGGAAAGAGATAATGGTCCGCATGATACTGCATGCAGAGGCCGCATAAATTACATTTTACATCAGATTTCATGTTAAAAAGGTAGAATTTAAATGACGTAGCCACGTGGTAGAGATGAGCGAGACGCAACATTCCGCTCTCACACAGTATCTGCACGGGTTCGCTTCGCGCTGTTACAGCGTGGTAGCCACAGGACCAAAACAGCGGAGAAGTTGACCCAATATGTGGTTTACTTTCTGCATCTAAGTCATATCGCTGAGTATTCCTTTAACTAGTTTGTATTAGCTATTTGTTTTGGAAGTGTAACCAACGGGTGCAGGGTGTGAACAGAAATGAACTGGATGTCAGATCTGCCAGGTCTCGTGTTGGTGACCATCTAGCGAAACACTAGCTCTGATCTGACCACGGAGAGGTCTTACAGGCGAGAATGATTTGCACACAATTGCATCTCAATCATGGGAAAGTACAGGGGCATGTCAAATTAATAATTGGTCCAGCGTAAAAAATTATAATTATTCCAAAGATAACTAGAAGTAGATACGCATATCAAACCTGAATGCTTGTGCCTACATCGCACATCTTTTGAAAGTCTTTAGCTCATTTAAAAAAAAGTCTGTTCTCAACAACCCTCTTCAAATAGCACCTAATGCCGCCCTCTCTCTCTCTCAACAATAAATGGAGACCTTTCATTGCAAAATGGGACCGCCTGACAAATGGGAGGATGACGAGACATAGTCGCGCTTTGTTAATGCGGTCGCACTGTAGGACAAAATGGTGGAAGGGCTCGGCGAGTGTGTTCAGTGAGACATTAGGCACGCAGCAGTAGTCACTAGAGTCTTTGGAACTGGGCCAGGGGGTACAGTGAGGGGAATCAGGGTGAGTTGCAGAGGGGCATTCCATGAGAGGGAACGGTTACCTCAGCTGCAGCCGATAGCATCATAGAGATCTATTTCTAATCGAGTTAAAGGTTAAAGGTGATTATGGACCATTGAACTAAATCCTGTTTGTTTCCCACCCCATACGATCAAACTCCATGCTTCTTACCTGATTATGTTTGTGCAGTCGTAGGCTCCACCAATCCCAACCTCAATCACTGCCAGGTCCACCTGCATCACAAGACAATATGGGTGGCTGAGCTCAACCCACATTTCTATTCAGTCATTGCAGGAGGTCAATTGAAAGAATTGATAAGTGCAATTTTTTTTTCTCAAGAAGACTTGAGTCATGAAATGAATTTCAATTCACTTCCTGATTTGATGAGAGTTGATCACCCCACCCTGTGACACAGATAGGCCATAAAAAGCTCAGGAGAAATGTTAACCAGTACAGGTTGTGACTCATTAGTCGCCATGACACCACCACCACTAGGTCACCAAAGGGTCACCACTATGTGTTGTAGCGTTTTGAGGGACAGTATTTAATTCCAGACTTTTGTTCCCTCCCTTGTCTCCTTTTTCATTCCAATCCTATCAGGTGTGTAAAGGAGTTAACAAGGACCGAGAGGAAAGGGAGCAACCATTTGGAATGGAATGCAGCCCCAGACACCCCAGCAATGCTGCACAGGGACACCAAGAGTGGGGTATGATGGGAATGCAGGAGCTGATATGAGAGATGTGGTACACTGGTAATGGCGACCTACCTTTTCCTGCAGGAAGACGTGGAAGGCCAGGATGGTCAGGAAGCGGAAGTAAGCGGGCATGCTCCCCCCGTGAGTGTCCTGAGAAGGGTCAAAGGTAAACAGGATATTACTATAACAGCGTCGAAGTATCCCATCAACATCTCAACAAGCAGATACGCGACCTCAGCATTTAAGGGCGACAGCTACAGCATGGGACATCTACACCAAATCACATGACACACACGCACTGGTCATTATAGGACGAGAGGTTTTTCATTTTCTCCCAAAACTCAATTATCAATTCTAACAGCTAGAGACAGGAATACTACACAGGGTACAGTGGCCTGAATTCAGGCCATGGACCAAGCCCAGATGTATACAGTTAGAGGCAAATTGTGAAGGGCCCTGCTATTGTAAACAACCATTGAGAAACATGAGTAGAACTCGTTTGGTTTCCAGTTCAGACAGTGGTACTTGATTAGTACGTCCAACTTAAAGATATTTGAAGAATTTATTAATGAAATATTATTTTCTCTACAGGAAAAGACAGGGAGCAACTTGTCATGGTTGGAGAATGTGTTGTATTCTGCAATACATTATGGACACACCCTTTTCCTTGGAGGTTAAGGACCAGGAGCACAGATAGCAGAACTCCAAACCTTCACTACAATTGGAATCGGAACTTTTTTCCACAACTACCTTAGTTTCATACAGCCGTCCATACACCTGCCAGAAATATTTTGTGAAGAGTTCTTTGCCGATTGGTTTTCCATTAATTCTTATCCTCTCCCTGACTTGTACCAAATGTGGGGAACTGCAATCGACAGAAAAGACAATGTGTTAACAGTCAAAAACATGAGGACTCAGAAAATATAATTTAGGATTATTAATTCCTAACAGGGGTATGGTTGCGAACCTTTGCAGTAGAGTAGAACTTCACTGATAAACATTTTTCTCAATTTCTCATGTAGGCGCACTCGATTTAGCCAGAGATCTCCCAGTCCGCCAGGTAGGGGAGTTTGTCTTTTCAGACAAATTAAATGGTTCAAAATGGGAACACTTTGCCTACCCAGTGCTCAGGGCTTCTGAATACAGTGCACCTACTGCCAAAAGCGTAACACCAATAAATAAAAAAGATGATCACAAGCCTTTATCGTTGGCTTTTCTAAAGAAATGCTTGGTGATCGACTAGGAATGTCTTGAAGAGCGACCAGTCGATTGTGACTGACCGGTTAGTGACCACTGCTCTATAACTACTACACAAGAATGTTGCCTCAGCAGTCAGTGAACTTAATGAATAATGTTTCAAGCAGGAAATCAGATGACGGATTATGGCTTGGTTAACTGGACGAGGCTGGTAACCACAAGTAAATGTCCTTACTCTGCATCAAAAACAGATATTTATTTTTTTTCAACAGCTAATTTGCTGTAGGTAGGACTGCTCTGGTTTTGATACTTCATGATATGTACCTGTAAAATCCTGTCCGAAAACCATAGCGTCTCAGTATCTGTTCAGTGAAAGCGCACGTTGACCCCTGAAAGATAAAAATTCTAAACATTACTAACCTTCCTCCCACAATGCCATATCAAGTTGTTTACAACATTTGTTTGGCAAACTTTGCACAATAAACGAACTTGGGGCTTATACATTAGTGGATTTAAACATATACACACACACACCATGCTCCACACACCTTGCCTTTCGTTCCCGTGACATGAATGATATTGAGATGGTCAAGTTCTTCCACCTTTGAATCAAAATGGGAAAACATTTAGATTAGGAGACAGAATCACTAATTGACCATTTCAAATGACAATCCAGAACAGAGCTAACCAGCTACTCCTGAATAAATGGTAGGGGTAGACACTGCTGTAGAATATATTCACCCTCAGGCCTGCTCGCTCCAGGAAGCCCCTCATGGCCTGGAGCTGGAGTTGGGGGTGACCCCGCTCTCTACGCACTTGCTCCAGGGCACAGGCATTGGTCTGCAGGGTATTGAGGGTGCACACTGCATCCTGCAGTGCCAGAAAAACCATAAGGGTGCATGTTTTTAATATCTCTGGATAGCATATTATACACAACCATGAATTGCAGGGAAATTAAAACTTTGCCAATTTCATTAAGCCTATATGATAACACAAAAATAAAAAATAAAACTTAAATTTAACAAAATAATTTCACATGCAACAGATTTTAAGCAGACTGTCTGTGCCTGTTGAATGCATGCGTTTCCCATGGTAGCTATATTTACTTTGTTAATAATCTCGCACCACGACTTTACCAGCCACATGTAGCCTGAGCTATCCAGCTAGAGATAGTAGAGACCGTTTGTGGAGCTAGCTAGCTTGCAAGTAAGTGAAAGTAGAGCAGGTATGGTGAGTGCAGTAGCTAGTCTGTCTGAACAGTGCACACAGCACACAAACTTTTTTTTTGGGGGGGGGGGGTTGTTTGTTATGTTTGCATACTAACTAGTTTTAGTAGGCTAACAAAATATTCAATTGCTCAGAGGAGGAATTTAGTTTTAGTTGACAAACAGAAATAACTTAAGGCAGAAAGCATTCATGCAGCGAACAGTAGCAAGTTTGCTAAAACGCTTCCGCGCCATGCTGCCTCATAACTTGCAGCAGAGAGCAGATATCTAGCTAATGTTCCCCCTCCACCAAAGCCAGTCCAATCCAGCAACATTCGGCTGATGTAATAGTATTTGTTCCTTGCACGTGAACACTAGTTTGCTGATTTGAAGGTAAATGATTGCTAGATAGATGGCGAAGTTGCAAAATGGCTATCATGTATTTGTATGTATAGCAAGCTGTTGATCAAGTTGAACGTGAGCCATAAACTTGTCAAACTAACGAGCTAGCTAACGTTAGTAGGTTAACTTGCTAGCACATTGGCTAGCAGATGATAGCCACAGTATCTTACCTGATACTCCATTCTGGGAAGTCGCGGTTCTGCCTTTGTACTTGAATACTTCAATGTGGTAAACTTGGACGACCAGTCCTTCTGGCGGAGGAACGCGGCAAATACGGAGCCCCGCTCCCACACGCGAGAAAAGCGCACCATCATGGGGTTTGTGAAAGCGCACACAGGAAACCGCGGCCAAATTTGGACGATATTCCTGTCAGAACGTGCTGTCGTCACGCCACGCCTCTTGAGAGAAATGTCTTCTTCTCCTTCTGTGGGGTTTATCGGCGGTTGGCATCCAACGTTATGGTGCATTACCGCCACCTACTGTACTGGGGTGTGGGCCAGAGACAGGGAGGAACTAAAGCCTACCTGCTAGCCCCGTTTCTCTTAAAAAAAAGATGGCACCATTTTTGAAACTGTATCTAACGATGTTCTACTCATTATGCTCATAGGAGAGAGGAGTTGGAGGTGCCAATGAGAAAGCCAGTGGCTAATGGAATCATATAGACAGTGGTGGTGCTGTGATGGCAGGAGCTGTGGAAGAGCCACACTAAGGGTAGGCGTCTTTTATGGGTATCATGACACCTCCACTGTGGGGCTCTATTCCAGATACAGAGTAAAGTCGGGAGGGGAGGATGCTAGGAAGATACATAAGAGAGGAGGCCATCATTGCAAGGATAAGGGTGGGACACAGCCATTTGAATAAGTCATTAAATGTGATAGGAAAGCATCCAACAGGAAGGTGTGATTACTGCCAGGAAACAGAGACAGTGGAGCATGTACTAATACAGTGTGGGCAGTATGAGAGGGAAAGAGAGAGACTGAGATCAAGTATGAGGGAGAAGGGGAAACAGGAATTTAGTTTAAAGACCTGAGAGAAATGCATTGAACAATGTGTTGTGTTAGTAATGTTGTCTCGTGTCATTCCCATGAATTCTATGATTGTTTCCATCTGTGAAAAACAAAATCTTGTTACATGACAGCAAAGAATTATGAAGCAAATCAGTTGTGCAACCATGCAACTGTCAGACAAGCCAGCCAGGCACACTGGGTTCTCGGAGAGCAAGACTTGACCAAGCTGTCAGCTGTCACTTACCTTGCCAACATTTCCACATGCATGCACGCAGAGCATGTAAGTCTCTAGGTGCGATACATTGACCTCGTTGGATATTGCAAAATAATATACACTAGATATTTCTATGAACTATCTCTAGGACCTGGACATGGCTTTTTTAGTATTGTTTTCTCCATCCTTTAGTTGCATCAATTACTGCCATCTACTGTTCTGGATGTGGAATTGGCGTAAAACTATTTCCTTTAGAAATATTCCACAAGGTGGCACCATACTACTAGGAGCGGTATAAAAACATGACCTTATCCAAATTACATACAGTACCTTCCAATTTTAGTCTCTCAATTTGCAATTATAACTGTGTATATATCAGACAATATATCACGGGAATGACACAAAAATACTTGTTTACTGTTCTTTTTATGTTGGTAACCAGTTATAATAGCAATAAAGCACCTCTGGGGTTTTTCTGGTATATGGCCAATATACCACGGCTAAGGACTGTTTGCCTGGATACAGCCCTTAGCCGTGGTATATTGGCCATATATCATAAACCCCCGAGGTGCCTTATTGCTATCATAAACTGGTTACCAATGTAATTAGAGCAGTAAAAATACATGTTTTGTCACACCCATGGTATATGGTCTGATATACCACGGCTGTCAGCCAATCAGCATTCAGGACTCGAACCACCCAGTTTATAATGCCATTATACCACACCCCCTCGGGCCTTATTGATTAATTATACAGTGGTATATCAAAGTGGATGTTTAAAAAAATCCAGGACAGGAAACAATCTTGAAACCTCCCCACTGGGCACACACTGGTTGAATCAACGTTGTTTCCACGTCATTTCAATAAAATTACATTGAACCAATGTGGAATAGACGTTGAATTGACGTCTGTGCCCAGTGGGTCATGTCAAAGACACTTAAAGGTAAAATCCGTAACATTGATTTCTGGTGACAAGTATCGGCAATGTTGTGAGTGTGTTTGTTTCAGGTTGATTGTGTTTGTTTGTTTCATTGCCACAGGTGAGAGAGGATATTGGAACGACCTTAATGTAACGCCTAGCGACCTTGTCAAAAGGTGTGGATCTCTTGGTGTAAAGGCTGAGGTGTTGGGTTGACAGTCGCTGGATTACTGTTATACTATATACCAGGTATTCCTTAAAGAGGTAGGGTTTCAAGTGTCTCCGGAAGGTGGTCAGTGACTTCGCTGTCCTGGCGTCGTGGGGGAGCTTGTTCCACCATTGGGATGCCAGAGCAGCGAATAGCTTTGACTGGGCTGAGCGGGAACTGTGTTTCCGTAGAGGTAGGGGGGCTAGCAGGCCAGAGGTGGATGAACGTAGTGTCCTCGTTTGGGTTAGGGTCTGATTAGAGCCTGAAGGTAAGGAGGTGCCGTTCCCCTCACAGCTCCGTAGGCAAGCGCCATGGTTTTGTAGTAGATGCGAGCTTCAACTGAAAGCCAGTGGAGTGTGCGGAGGAGCGGGGTGATGAGAGAACTTGGGAAGGTTGAACACCAGACGGGCTGCAGCGTTCTGGTTAAGTTGTAGGGGTTTAATGGCACAGGCAGGGAGCCCAGCCAACAGCGAGTTGCAGTACTCCAGACGGGAGATGACAAGTGCCTGGATAAGGACCTGTGCCACTTTCTGTGTAAGGTAGGGTCATACTCTGCGAATGTTGTAGAGCATGAACCTGCAGGATCGGGTCACCGCTTTGATGTTAGCGGAGAATGACAGGGTGTTGTCCAGGGTCACGCCAAGGTTCCTTGCACTCTGGGAGGAGGACACAATGGAGTTGTCAACCGTGATGGCGAGATCATGGAGCGGGCAGTCCTTCCCCGGGAGGAAGAGCAGCTCCGTCTTGCCGAGGTTCAGCTTGAGGTGGTGATCCGACATCCACACTGATATGTCCGCCAGAAATGCAGAGATGCGATTTGTCACCTGGTTATTGTTGTGGAAAATAACCACTATACTTTATTACAAATAAGGTCTGACAGAGTTTTTGTTGCATCAAGAAATGACTTCATTAAAGTTTTCAACAAAGCCGATACCATACTCCATTTGATATAGTCCTCTTCAGTTTTCCCGCTCTTTTATTGCTCCGCCCACTTCCTTTGTCTCTGAGAGCGGCTAAACTCAACTTTCATTAAGTTCAGAGTACTACAATCAATCAATCCTTATCTTGCAAAAACACTCATGTTTAGTTTAAACTCTGTTCAACCCTGGCTCTTTTCACTGTGTTTGAAGACAAAAACAAACGGCCCAAGCCAGTTTCAGTCTTTGATATGATAAGACAACCATGGATCTAAGTAAGAGCAAGCAATCTGACCCTAGGGCAGATTCCCTCTCTACTCACCCACACAGTGAAATTAAATGACCCAATACAATTCCTGGCCCAGTAACAAACAATTCTAACTTTATGCTCTTGATTAACCCAGTTCTACCTCAGTCCATTAAACTCTACAGTTCATTAATAATAATTCACCACATTATCAGAAGATGGAAAAGAGAAAATGAATTGTGTGTCGTCTGCGTAGCAATGATAGGAGAGACCATGTGAGGATATGACAGAGCCAAGTGACTTGGTGTATAGAGAGAATAGGAGAGGGCCTAGAACTGAGCCCTGGGGGACACCAGTGGTGAGAGCACGTGGTGCAGAGACAGATTCTTATCTATAAGCTATAAACCTAACATCCTCTAAGACTTAACTAAGCCCTTGACTGGTCCCTCCCTACATTCCAGGTAACATTTTCTGTCAGCAAACAGCATTGTGCAGAACACAGGTGGCTGGTGGCACCTTAACTGGGGAGGATGGGCTTATAGTAATGGCTGGAATGGAGTGTACTTACCGGTATAAAACACATCAAACACATAGTTTAAAATGAATCCATTCACTCCATTACAGCCATTATTATGAGCCATCCTCCCCTCACCAGACTCCTGTGGCGCACAGTACTGTATCACTCTCACTATGTGCCGCAGGAATGATCTTGTAACTTTTCTTTCATGATATCCTTGAGTAGGCAGCGATTACTGTATTTATTTCAAGTAAACAGTGCAGAAATGTGTTTTACATAATGAAAACACAAACGGCAGTAGCCTGGTCCCCGATTTGTTTCTGCTATCATGTCAACTTGTTGTCATGCCAAACATGACAATGAGTGACAAAAGTTGATATGGTAGCAGAAAACAGATCTGGGACAAGGCTACAACTCGAAGTAATCCATACTCAGATTGGATAAAGTGGTGTTCTTCCTGTCTATTGAAACTATTAGGTGTTTTGGGCAAGCACCAAGAAGGTTGTTCAACCTGGACTCAGGGGAAGACGTAACATAGTAAATCTATCTCCCTCCAATTAGTATGATATGTTACGTTTTGTATGATATGTATTAATTTGTAGATTTCCATCATCCATTTCATATGATATGTTACGAATTGCAATTCGTACAATAGCCTACGAATTTGCAATACGTAAGCAATGTTACGAATTCCAATTTGTTGTGGCTAATGTTAGCTAGGTAGCTAATGTTAGCTGTTAACCCCTAGAGTCGATGTCTGTGGCCCAGCAAAAATCTAATTAGCATAATAATACAATAAAAATCTGTCTGTTTAAGTTAGAGATATCCGTTTTTTGCATGGGCTGCATCTCAATCCACCGCATCCACCGATGTCGGCCTTCTGCATCTGAGGTGAAAATCGGTCTTCTCACGAAAACATCTGTAGCATCTGAACAGTTTGGCCTACAAACTATTATGACACCTCTATGGAAAGATGAGACTCATGAACACAACGCTGTTCTCAGTTTTGCTCTACCGCCGATCTGCCAACTTCTGTCTGTAGCTTACGAACAGTTTGGGCTACACACTAATATGACCACTCTGTGGAAAGGTGAGACTCACAAACACGTACATTGCTCTAGGACGCCCACAAGACTGGTCTGAATGTAGCCCAGTACCAGTTAAACAAAATGAATGGAAGTATACACTGAGTGTACAAAACATAAGGAACACCTGCTCTTTCCATGACAGACTGACCAGGTGAATCCAAGTGAAAGCTATGAACCCTTATTGATGTCACTTGTTAAATCCACTTCAATCAGTGTAGATGAAGGGGAAGAGACAAGTTAAAGACAGATTTTTAAGCCTTGAGACAATTGAGACATGGAT